GAGGCCCAACCTTCGGCGCTCCCGGAAGGGCTGCCGCACCTGCGAGGGGACTACTTCCGGTTAGGTTTTCCCGGCGCTGTTAGCTGGTCGGAGGGCTCGCGTTGTTTTCGCGAGCAGGTTGCGGTAGTTCCCAGTGGCCTTCCCACCTGTGATGTGGGGCAGCCGTCTCTACATCTCTTTTAATCCTACTTCTAATCTTAACAAAAAAACACTGAGTTTTGCAATTAGTATAAACAAGGGACTTCTGAACAGTTTGGAGAATAAAGTTTTATTGGAACAAGTTATATAGGAATTATTCAAACCTCACCATAGTGAAGCATCCCTGCGGGAGTTCGAATTTCATCATATCCTAGGAGATCTCAGTACTGTCAACCTTAAGACAATTTAGGAAGAGAATAAATCTAGTCTAAGGAAACAAGACTAAAAAAGTTGGAATCACCCATTCAGACTTAAGGAGTTGGAGTTAATTTAAGCATGAAATCAGCTCCTTAAGGTCAGATTTCCAACGAGCAAGATCTCCAAAAGTGGAGAAAAGTAGATCCCATCCTCTGGTCAGAAGACTTCCCAAAACAAACCTGAAGCCCAAGTTGCAAACCACGCCCCCCAATTTGCTACCTGAAAAGCAGATGCTGTGCATAAAAAAAGTGTGAAGGGAAACAGACTAGAGATTCAGCCTTCTTTCCTAATGCTGCCCTGATTCAAGTGTGTCTCTGAATGAAACCCCATTTAGAACTTCCCATGGCAGAATGTGTAAAGTGGTGTAATAAAAGCTCACAGTACATTTTCCTCATTTGAGCCCAGTCTTGCATCCTCCTTTCCTCCCTCCTTCCCTCTTTTCGGTAAAATGTAAGAGCATAATTTCTAAACCAAGACAGGCTTTTGGCAAGTAACTTGCAAACATGACATTCTCACTTAAGGTAGGTATGCTATATACCTTCTAGACGCTGGGTTAATCACACCGATTTCTGTTTAAGCACAATTCCAGCCATCTCCATCTCTTACTCCTATTTGCTTCCTCCCATGAGTAAGAAAATTATTATATAATTGTATAGATCATCTCAGGTCTCATGAGAGAGGATTTCTTGAAAATCTACTATAGCAAAGTTCAAAGAGGAATTTACTCAATTCCTGTAGGGCATAGGTCCTCAAACTTGACTGCACATCAGAATTACCTGAGGAGTTTTTTAACAAAATACTGAGGCCTGGAATCTATCCTCAGAGGCTGGAATTTAATTTTTTGAGGTGTGGCCTGGACATACAGATTTTTAAACGCTCCCCAGTTGTTCATTTTATGCACAGTCAAATATAAAAACTATTTATGGCAGTTCTCAAAGTGTGGTCCTAGGACAGGTAACATTAATCTCACCTGGAAACCATTTAGAAATGCAAAATCCTCCCTACTACCAAAACTGCTGAATCAGAAATTCTGGGAGTGGGTTTAGGAGTTTGTTTTAAAGAAGCCCATGGAGTGGTTCTGATGCACATTGAGGTTTAACAATAACTACCTGAGAAAAAGAAGAATGGGTGGATGGACTTTGAGTCCCAAGAGGCTCAGGTACTACAGATAAATAGCAGGTTTTGCTGTTTTCTTACCCACCTTAGAGGAACTTTTGTGATCAATTTGCAAATAGTTATCAATATTTGCAGATATTTTTCTCAGAGAAGGATGTAACAAGAAGAAAATGTTTTTCCAGCTGGAGTGAGAATTAGTCAAGAGAAAATATCTAGTATAAGCCTGCTTACGTTAGGTGATTTCCTGTGGGCCAGGCATGTTGACTAGAACTAAGGCTTCAGAGAAAGTTAAAACAAGTCTAAAAAGATAATTAAAAAGACATGTTCCAAAGATGAGAGAGGTAGAGGAAAAGAGCAGCAAGATGGCAGAGTTCTATGATACTTTCCCATAGCCTTGAAGTTTGGTTATTAAATGCTTGAAATACCTAGTGACGGTAGAGTCTTCGGAAACCCAAAAGGGGTTTCATATTTGAGTTATACTGATCATGAACACTACCATGAAGGACATACAGCCAGGAAGATCCAGCTGACATCTAGATTACATTCTTGATATTGGGATTAAAAGTTACCTGAATTAGGGTTTTCAATCAGACTTTGATTTGTTATGGTAATGTTGTAAGGGAATTAAGATTTAAATACATTTACTGACCAGTAATATGAATCAGTCACTGGGCTAAGGCAATGGGGATACAAAAATTAAAAATAAGTAAGATTCTTCAGCTCCAAAAGAGCTCAAAATCCAGTGGCAAGAGATATCCTATTATAGTTTGACTAGATTGCATATAGTGTGTGCTAGTAAAATAAACAAAATACCATGAACTGAAGCTGAAAAAACTGTTGTTGTGGTAGGGGATGGGAAGTATCAAAGAAGACTTCACAGAGGAGGTAACATTTGAACCACGATTTTATGGGTAAACAGATTTTCAAAGGCATGCTTAGATGAGTTACAGTAGTAAAAATAGCTAGTACATTGGCTACAAGTGCAGGAAATAAAACTAAAAAGGCTTATGGATAATCTTGAAACTATAAGTGTCTCACTTTGTGACCCAGACTGGAGTGCAATGACACAGTCACGGCTTACAGCAGACTCGATCTCCTGGGCTCGGGTGATCCTTCTGCCTCAGCCTACTGAGTAGCTGAGACTACAGGCACATGCCACACTTGGCTATTTTCAAATGTGTAGAGATGAGGTCTCCCTATGTTGTGCAGGCTGGTCTCCAACTCCTGGCCTCGGTTGATCCTCCCTCCTCGGCCTCCTAAAGCCCTGGAATTACAGGTGTGAGGCACTACATCTGGCCTGGTGAGGTTCTTACAAGCAAAAAAACCCTGCATGGTCAGTATAGTAATTTATTCATTTATTTAGAAAGAACTCTGATGAAGGCTGTTAGCCATGGAGAAACTTAAGGCATGGAATCCAGTCGAGATTTTACCAATATTCAAGGAAAGCAAAGATGAGTGTCTAAAAAGGAAGAGACACTGGGCACTGAGCAGAATCAATTGATTTTTATTTCAGGTCCCTTTAGATGACACCCTGGTGCCAAAACTGTGTGTGCATTTCAGGAGAAATTGTTTAGGATGTTGTACATGTTCTGTTAACTGAATGTGTAAATGTGTTGAGAACAGACAGGAGGTTGGGAAAGGACAAAAGCAGAGAAATAGTGAGGAATCTGCTCCTGTAATCTACAAGAAATGATGATAACTTCGCCAAGATGACAGCTTTGCTGGCGTTGAGAAGTGGTCAAACTCTGAATATATTTTGAAGGTACCACCACCAAGGTTTGCTAATAGGTTAGGTATGAAGTGTGAGAGACAAGAGTTAGGATGACTCCAAGATTTCTGGCCTGAGTAACTGAAAGACTGGAGTTGCCAATAATGAACCTGGGAAAAGCTAAAAGGAACAGGCTGGGGAAGAAGAGCATTTTAAGCTTGAGATGCCTGCTTTATATGAATAGAAAATATAATGATTACTTAAGATATTTGGCTTAGGGATTGATTTAATTAATGTAGGATTGTTGATTGTGGATCCATCTCTACATATGTTGTTTTAAATAACTAATCACAGAATGAGGATCTCATTCTGCTTAATCAGAATTGAACATAGATATTTTCATTGAAGTTGATTTACGCTAAGTCAGAGATCTGTTTTTATATTTATAGTGCTAGAATAAAAGCTGATTCATAAACAGATGAATCAACAAGTATTAGCTTCATTTTAGTGACTGCATACTTGTACCTAGTAAATACCAAAAAATTAATGAAAGTTGTAGAAACCAGCTTTTGTAGATGACTTTGACATCAAAAAGTATATGAAGTGTTACAATAATAAAGACTGCTCTTAATCTTGGATTTATTATGTGAAAGAGGTGTGCTTACATCTCTCCAGTGAACCTTTTATACATTGTGATCAGCCAATTTATCAAACACCTTTCAGTTGAACTTCTTTTTCGTACTATGTTAAAAGTCCAAAGAGACAAAATCTGACACAGTATTTTTCCATTTTTATTTCATCTTCTTCTAAGTAAGCACAGTTTGAAATAACTCATTATAATAATCTTACAATTACACAGTTATACAAATGGTACCACAACATGCATAAACAAAGCTCTTAATATTACTTTAAACATTTTTAAAACAGGCTACGCATTACTTCTGTTTTAAATTAGTGTTACAGTTAGCTATGAAGTTACCAAATATTTTGACTGCTGAAAAGGCAAAGTGGATTTTAATTGTAGTAATTTGATTATTAATCTTTATAAGGAAAAAGGGAACCTCCAGTAAAAAGTGTGTTTCCAGGGGTTTTCAACAGAAAAACTCACATGAGAGAGAATAAACCTATATAAGATGAATCCGTTGGCTAATCACATTTTTTGAGAGGTCCATATGGCATTTGAGAATTCCTTAAATACTTTACATGTTATTGTTATAATGTCTATTAAATCATAGTAAGTTCACATAGTAAGACATTCAAAGGTTGTACCTATTGAAAATTCCTTCCCTGAAGTTAGTCATATTCTGAGTTATGGAATATTGTGACTGTTAATCTATGTAGGTACTCAGTGAACTATGTCACGAAGCAGTGCTGAAAAACCTCCAAATCTCATTTTGAGAGTTCATAACTCCTACTTCCAAATCCCTCTCTCCACCTTAAGTGAATCAGGTGAAATCTGGACATTCATGTCAATTGCGAAATACACAACAGTGGAAGCAGAACTCAAGGAAAGTACATGTGGGCTTCTCAGATGAACCTTTCACCGTCTACCTGCAGGTGCTCTCAGAAGTTGATCCTTCCACATCCTCTTCTGAGGACATTATAGGAGTGAACACACTATGTTCTGATCATTGATTTTGTCTGACTCTGTAACTTCTTTATTTTTTGATCCAGGCAGTGTGGTACACATTAAATGTTCAACAAATATTTGTTGAAAATACAAGTTAATGAATGAACAAATGAAATTACACTGATTCCAGATGTCTTAACTAAGCATTATAATAAATATTTTGTTGTTGTATTTAATATCATGCCAAAAAAGAAAACTAGTAATTTCAGCCTGTTTCCAATACTACATTCCTCTTCATGTTCATTTACATTAATGTACATGGTACACTAGTACAGTGTAGTATTAGCTTTCATTCACATTCAGTATTGTGACTATAGAATAGCACCTAAATACAATTTTTTAATTTATTTTTAATTTTTTTTATTTTTGAGTTGGAGTCTCACTGTATTGCCCAGACTGGAGTGCAGTGGCCACTCCCGGCCACCGCAGCCTCGACTGGCTGGGCTCCGGTGATCCTTCCGCCTCAGCCTTCCAAGTAGCTGGAACTACAGGCATGCACTACCACGCCCGGCTATTTTTTGATTTATTGTAGAGATGAAGTCTCGCCAAGTTGCCCAGGCGGTTCTCGAACCTGCGGGCTCAGGAAATCCACTAACCTCAGCCCCCCAAAGGTGCGGGATTACAGGCTGAGCCACCGAGCCCGGCTAATACAATTTCTAATGAAGTATGCATGAAATGATTTATCAATAGTATTAACATTATGTTATTAAAATAAATGTTCTCATCTAAGTCTATCTATCTCTACTTTCAAATCAGGCGTTTTTCATGATAAAAGCTAAGTCTAACCACTTTTTAATCTAATTTCCCTTTAGAACAAAAAACATGCCACAGTTTCTGCTAGTTTTAATATTAATACATTAAGAGAACCACTTTATGTTTCTTCCCCCTTACGTTATTACAGGCAAAATTCCATTACAGCCAATTTGATTGTGATTATAAATTTACTGATAGAAACCACATATACTCTATAGCTTTCAGGACAAATTTATTAAAAAGATGCAAGGCTTCACGAAGTTAAAACCAGCATCTGGAATTTAAGTAAGAGGTGCCATGTACATAATTCTTCCCATCAACAAGATCAGAAATTACTATGTAGTATGGGATTCTTCATTTTGAATATTCATGTGTAAAATTATAGAATGTCAAGAAATAGCTAAATTCTTTTTTCTCCATCACAGTAATAAAAATTCCAAAAAAGCACTTTCCATAGTAGTTTATTCTTCATAAATAAATCACTATTATAACTGGCTATTTACTGAGAAATTAAAATATTTTAACCTTTTAAAAATACAGAGCCCTTCTTGATGAACAGAATTTGTTTTAAATGAGATTTTATATACAGTATCATATATATAAAATCCTTAGCCAAGTATTTATTAAAACAAAGAAGTAAGTGCAAAGTATTAATATCACAGATCTCAGGAAACAGACATTCAGAAAGCTTTAAGGCTACTCAGTAATAGCCTCTCATAAAACCCAATGAACCTCAGAATTACAATTAGACTTCAAAGGGACTTAAATATTACTCCATACTGAGCCAAGATTATGAAAATCTTCCACTGTTGACATTTTCATGTTCTAAGTTTTTCAATCAAATTATCTGCCTGTAATTTTAAAAAAAAAAACATGTTTTATTCTAGATACAAGAGTCTTTATCAAACAGTTCTACTAGTATTCATGTTATAATAACCCACAGCAGAAGAGTTTGGTTCTATGTATTCTGTTCCTAAAAATATCTTCCCAAAAATCTCTCAGTGAATAGTTTTATAAATTGCAATAAAGGTACTCTACATTGTATATAAATAAGCAGATATTATAAATTCATTTAAATTTTGAATAAGAAGAGGAAAATAAATATAATACTAAAGTTGTTAAAAGTAACTATGGAGGAGTTTTAAATGCATACCACTAAGTGAAAGAAGCCAATTTGAAAAGACCACATACTGTATGATACCAACTCTATGGCATTCTGGAAAGGGCAAAACCATAGAGACATTAAAAAGATCAATGGTTGCCAGGAGTTAGACGGGAGCAAGAGACGAATAGGCAGAGCACAGAGATAGGGCAATGAAACTATTCTGTATGATACTATAATAATGAATATATGTCATTTTACATTTGTTAAAACCCATAGAACGTACAACCAAGCGTGAACCCTAAAGTAAACTGTGGACTTTGGGTGATAACAATTTATCAGTGCAGGTTCACTGATTGTAACAAATGTACCACTCTGGTGCAAGATGTGATAGTGTGGAGATCGTGCGTGTGGAAGGGCCAGAGGGTACGTGGGAACTCAGAACCTTCCATTCCTCTTTACTGGGAACCTAAATCTGCTCTTTAAAAGAGTGTCGTCTTTTTTTCTTTTTGAGTCAGAGTCTCACTCTGTCACCCAGGCTAGAGTGCAGTGGCACACTCACGGTCACCACAGCTGGGCTCTGGCAATCTTTCCGCCTCAGCTTTCCAAGTAGTTGGAACCACAGACATGTGCCACCACACCAGGCTAACTTTTTAAATTTATTGTAAAGATGAGGGCTCGCCAAGTTGCCCAGGCTGGTCTTGAGCCTGTAAGTTCAGGCAATCCTCTCACCTCAGCCTCCCAAAGTGCTGGGATTATAGGTATGAGCCACCGTGCCTGGCCTCTTGTTTTTTTTTTTTTTTTAAGTAAACTAAAGTCTTTGAGTTATATATCATTTCAGTGCTTTTTTCAAGCATCTTATGTAATCTAGAATGCATATAGGAGATTTTAGAATAGTCTTCAATATCTTTATCTTAATTGTTCTTCAAATTCTCATAATATATACTGACAAAGTCTCAGATTTAAGAAGAGTTCGGTTTCCCAGGAGGAACCATGAACAGATCTTATAATTTTGGATATTAATGTTTTCTACTTAAAAAGTCTTTTGAGAAAAGAAATGCAGTTTAAAACATTACAAGGTGTATTTTCATTAGTTTTTTATTGTAAAGGTATAGATCTTATAGCAAATTAGAAATACAAATAGGGAGAAAAAATCCCTTTTCTATTATACTGATTTTGTAAAGAAAACAAACCAGCTGTCCTGCAGATTATCTCAATGTTTTTATTTCAAATCCATACATATATATAGGTATCCTAAATATATATTTAAATAAAATCATCTGGACAAGTTGAAGAGAGAAATAATATGTTTGAAGTACTCATTTTATAGAAATCAGATACTTTTTGATTTCTTCTGTACTATGACTAGAAAAATAGCATTAATTGACTAATGGTAACTAAATGGTATTTGAGGATTATTCAGATACAGAGACTGTAGGTCACCTTATTATCGTGGAAACACAAAATAATAACCTAGTAATTATTGGTCAAGTGGCTCCAGAGGGACAGGAGTCACTTGATAACTAAGGCTTGCCTTTCAGACCACAGGTCTACAGACAGCTGCATTCTGTTCTAGTTTTGCCTCAGCAAAGCAGAATTCTGCAACTTTTTAGACTTGGAAGTTTCAACTCAAATCTGGTAGTTAATGCTACTACAGCCCTTTTCTAAGGAGTTTAAACTATTAAAAAATACAAAAATTCAATTTCTACAATTATGTTGATGGTTATAATGATAAAGACAGTCAGTAACATTTACTGAGTACTTACTGTTTGCAAAGTACCATTTTAAGTGCTATATTACATAAATTATCTCATCATCTTTCTTATCAACCCTAAGCATAGGAACTGTTATCTATATACAGGTAACAGATTAAAAACGTTAAGCCCTTAGCTGGGTGTGGTAGTGTGCGCCTGTAGTTCTAGCTACTTGGAAGGCTGAAGCAGAAGGATCGCTGGAGCCCAGCAGGTTGATGCTGGGGTGGCCGTGAGCATGCCACTGCACTCCAGCCTGGGCAACGGAGTGAGCCTACAACTCTAAAAAAAAAAAATGTAAGTAATTTTCACACGGTATTTCAAGTAAGCAATGGAGTCACAACCTGAACCCAGATCTGACTCCAAAGTCTGAGCTCTGGATGCCATGGTTCTTCTATATCATACCCCCTACTTGCATTCGGGGAGACTCAGCCATAGATTCTCTTCCTACAGATCTAATGACCTGAAAAATCCCCAAATTAAAAATATTATTCTGGATATGTGCAAGGAATATGCTAAAACAGGTGATCAAGCCTATGAGAGCTGTAAATACCTACTACTGCCAAAAAAAAGAAAAACTACCACAGAAAGGACAAAGATTTTAAATATTTTTATATGCTGCTGATACAACACTTACTGTGATAAACCAATAGGAACCGACTCTATAAACCAACTTGGATAAGAAGCCAAGCTGATTGGCTGGAGCCAGAACATGAAGGTGCAGGTGGGAAATGGAGCAGAATGGTGGCATATGGAAACCCATCCTACAACAGAAAGGTCAGAGATGACTGACAAATTCGTTCAACAGTAGTTTAAAGCCATTTTCAAATGAAAACACACACGTTAAATACATCTCAAGTAGGTATCTAAGCTAGACAGATTGCCATTCACATGTCTCTCTATTGGTTCTCCGTATGCACTTCCGAGAATTCACATACCTCCTGTCTTTTCATGTTGAAATTCATAGTAACTTAAACTCATCTTAAGGAAGGCCTTAACAGCACATTATGTCTCAGTATAATCTTTATGAATTCTGTATTGGCATAATGTCTTATCACTTCAGTCCTTATCATTTTAAGCTTTAATTTTCCTAAAATAGGATCCTGTAATGAACTTTTTGAAAAACATCACTTGACATTCAAGTAGTAGTTCCTTTATTCTAAGACATAGCCAGTAGATGGCATGCTTTTCCCTTTAATAATGTGCTCAGGCATTTCCTTAACCAACCAACAATATTTCAGTAGTGAAAATAATGTCATCATAAAAAAACTTTACCATCACCTAAGCTTCTTATTTAATACTGAATTAAATGATTAAATACTTAGTTCAGCAGACAATGAATTCAAATTAATTTCATGCTAGAAGTATAATAATATATTTTTACATCACCAAAGTTTTCTAAGGAAATTCCCTTAACACAATTTTATAGGAATATACATACTGAACAAATAAAAGTAGACTTGTAACCATTTTGCTTACCCACTGCTCATATATACCTGTCTGTCTAAACTGTAAGTAGAGATTACTAAAAGACATTGGGAAATGAGAGGAAGAAGCTTTATTAAATTGATACTGCCAAAGAACTATATTCTCACTTCCCAGAAAACTGCATTTAAGCCACAAACTCTGCCACCTTGGCTTCTATTTTCCATGAAGAAGTAACATTTCCAAAAGAGTCAATAATGTGTAATATTGGTTTCTACCTGGAAGTATACATACCTCACATTTGTGAAGTCAGTGAAATTATTCTTTTCAAGAATGGTTTTTCCAACAGTTACCATGTTTTCAACTGTAAAAACAGGAAAGAAACTACAGTACACTATGGGAGACATTAAGTACACTATGGGAGATATTAAGTTCACTAAATTGCTACTAGTCTTTTTTTTTGAGTTGGATCCTCACTCTGTCACCCGGGCTGGAGAGCAGCGGCACGCTTATGGCCACTGCAGCCTCAACCTGCTAGACTCAGATGAACCCTCTGCCTCAGTCTCCCAAGTAGCTGGAACTACCAGTGTGCACCACCACACCTAATTTTTATTTATTTATTGCAGAGATGAGGTCTCGCCAACTGACTGATCTCAAACCCCTGGGCTCAAGCAATCCTCTCACCTCTGCCTCCCAAAGTGCTGGGATTACAGGTGTGAGCCACCACCCCTGGCAAATTGCTACTAATCTTAACTCTTAGGGTCCTATCAAATGTCATATCAAATGAGTAAATATTTAAAGACACATTCAATAGCTTAAAGTTACCGAAAAGTTTGCTTCTCAACAACTGAAATAAAGTTTCAAATTCAGCCCTAGTGAAACATGTATCACAAAGTAGACTTTGGACAGCTGTTGAGAGGTATTATCAAGTGGCTATTTAGGACGTCTGGTCATACTGACTATACCAATCTCCTTCTAATGATAAGAAGACCAAATAATTAGGCAAGTTGTTTGAATTAATAAGAAAGGAAAACTTTACCTTTGAGTCCAAATTAAGGGTAGGATGCCTTGTCAACCTACCCCTGACTAGCTAAACATTTGTGTAACGTTGGCTTCCAGATTCTATCTGCCTTATCATCTTTCTCAGTGCTTTATGATCTTCAGATGGGAATAATTTTGGTAACCTGAGACCTTGAAAGCACAATACCAAACTTAGGCCTCCTTAGTTTCTGAATGGCATAATCATGTGTTTCTAAGGGGAAGAAGTAAAAGGACCTACAGAAGATGGTTGCTAAATTGCAGCTTATGCTATCACTGTTAATGTTTACTTCTCTAAGTCAGGCTTAAGCTGAGATACTGCCAACTTCCATCACTAGGCCAGTACCACATAGTCCCCAAAAGCTCCAAATTACTTCAGCCATACTACATCTTTTTTCTTTAAAATACTCTCACAACCCCATATAGGTAATACAAAAGTATTAATTCATTAAGAAAACGAGTCATAATTATATGTTCACTTAAAATCAGATCCAGAAGGGGAACAAGATGGCGACGGCATAGGTGAACTTGTGAGATTCTCTGAACATGAGTTCCCAAAAAGACTCTTACTTTTCTTCCTCCATCCCCCAGCCCACCACCAGCCATGCTGGTCCGAGGCCTGGGGACCTTCGGTCCCACGCAGGGCCAGATACTGTGGCCCCCTGCTGCTGCTGTTCCACTGCGTGCGTGGGAATCTCGGGTCTCAGCTTGCACCCTGGCTACATCGTCTCTCACCCGGCACCCAGCCCCAAGCCGCCGGTCACTCAGGGAGGCTCTGGGCGCCCGCC